ACTTTTTGATATCTTTCAAAAGAAGTGAGATATATAGGCTCAAAGTGGACGATCCGGGTGTCGTTCTATTAGAGGTTTTACGGTAAGAATAATTATGAAGTCCTAGCTATGAACTTTTCAGTTCCTCTCTTCAAACTCGTCGTCTTAATGGAGCGCTGAACCGAATGCCAGTGAACTTCTATGATCGTGTGTGGACAATTTTAGAACGATCGAAACATGGAATCATCATTGCCGATCAATTCCTCCCACAGCAGCCCACATTGAGTGATATGACGAGATTCGAACTGACATTCTCCTACAAAATTGAAGCAATGCTCAGTCGTATTTCCCACCCTGAATATAGACAGTTGCTCGTAGAGGTTGGTTTTTTGAAAAGGTTCCTTTCCCATTGACCAGTTGTTTTGGCATACAAATCGTCTCATCTGACCCATTTCTCGTGATCTGATTCGAATTTCCGGTGGAAACAACATTATTTCAAACAAATATCTTTTGAAGTTAGTCTTGAAGTTTGATCTATCTTCTTTCTTAAAGTTTGGATTTTATCGGATCAAAAGGCAATACAAAGTAGGCTTGAAAAGCTTGAAGAGTGTTGATTCCATTATCAGAAGCATTCCATAGTTCTGTAGATCCCTGAACATGTGTGTCTTGCAATGCGATTCCCGCATCCCACCACATATTAACGATTAGACGACGATTTGACTACGTAACTGAGCTCCTTGGGGGGATAGCGAGCTCATCGGAAGGGATAATAAGCGAAAAAACACTCTGAAAACACAAGTGAAAAATAGTTTCTAATCCTCCACTTCTCACAATCTTTTTCCTGATGACTCTTCAACTCAGTGCCTAATATGTTTATTAGGAAAATAAGATCCCCCAGACGAAAAAATCAGTGACGACACGGAATGAATCAGGTATGAGAAAATTTCATGTTCGTAATCATGAGATTGTCAAAACAACCTTAAATGTCTGAAAATTAGAAATTATTGATTCTCGGTTTCAGTTGCTGTCGATCATCGCTACCATTCTTGAGAGGAATCCGGAAATCGCCTTCACACATTCTCGCATTGACTGTGACAGTGTAGGAATCAAAATTTCATCTCTTTCTTTAAAAAAACCCCTTATCTTTTTAGCTGATCAAAAAAGGATTCGCCATGTTCGCTGCAGAAGAAGGCATCAAGGATCTGAACGATTTGACTCCATTCTATCAGCTGGAAGGACAAGCTCTCTCCACATCGACCGCCACTTTCTTGACCAAGGTAAATGTTGCTCATCATGAGGAATTGAAAGGACAGGGATTAGTGGAAGTTTTCCTTCCGGTGTTAATGATAATTATCAAAAAGATGATGTCAACGGTTCTTTGAAAGAAAATAGGGATTATCAGGTGGGAGAAATGATGGCGGAAGAAGCCGAAAAAACACAGGGATTCTCGAATGACAAAGGGCCAATTGAAATGCCAAATTATGATGATAGATAATATATGAACTAGACATTCTTGTCTAGAATAAAATGGAAATATTTCATGATACGCCGAGGTGGAAGTATTGGTCCTTATATCGGAAAACCTGTAATAGAAGAACCCCCTAACTTTTATTTATAAGCCAATTTTTCTGTCCTTGTCAAAGATATGAAAAAGGTGTCAACGGAAAAATTTGTTTAGCATAACATCAGAAGTGTTTTTTTTCCAGTTAACACCTTGTTGATATATTGCATAGGAATTGAAAAAGTCGAGCTCAAACTTTGCAGTGTGCGAGCCCTACCATTATAGGTTGGACGGTATGAAACATTTTCTAGTTGAACGAATAGTGCAGTAATTTAAGACAATCTGTGCAATATCTCTTTTGCTAGAAAAAAACAGTAAACCAAATGTCAGCCTCTGCTTTTTGCTTCTCTTCTCGAAGTACTACATTTTTACCTTCTATTGAATTCATTTTTCTTCTTTTTGAACATCGAAGAAAATAACAGCGGCGAGCAATAAAATCTCGTCATTTTATCATCTGTTTTGTCTGTGATATTTGAGATTAGGAACGGTTTTTAAGACAAGATTTTTGGCCCCCATGTGGAAGGTTTTCCAAGTTTCCAAGTGATGCTAGTTTCCAATATGTATAAATCTGTAAATTCTTGGAAGAAAATTATGAGATCAATGAGTCAAATATGCGCGTCAAAACTATCATAGAGATGAAGATAAAAAGAAGAAAAAAAAAGGAAAAAGACTTCCAAATTTAGATATTCTCAAATGAGATTTGATCCCCGTTTCTCCTTGATAAGTGCACATCAGTAGCCAATAAAAAGGATTAGGAGTATCTTCATAAGTTCTGGAAAGATTCTTTACATTGAACAAAAATTCAATAGGTCTACATAAAAATGGACTAGATCAAATACATAAAAATGGACTAGATCAAAGGTGCACTATCAATTGTTTAATTTTAGGCTGTCGTCGAATTCATCCTAGCCGGCCGTCATTTCTCCCAAGTCATCAACATCTTCGGCGAAGGAACACCAGAAGAAAAAACACTTCCAAATCAAGCTCATCGTGGAAAAATGCCAAAGATTTTGTACACTGGACGAGCGAGTAGCGAGAAGAAAAAACGTCATCTAGGAGGAAATCATACTCCTCACCAGTCGCAATTACATCTCCCAACGCCAACTACTCTTAACCCTGGAGCTATCACACCAGGAGCCGTGACTCCTGGTCCATTGACATCCCATTCAGGAGGACAAGGACAGGACGAGAGTTGTCGACTTCAATAATCAAAGGTTATTTTTGAATCTTATTCTTCGTCGCCTACGACACATAGCAGAACAAGCAAACGAATAATTGGGCATCTTCCTAGGGATTATCCAGAAAAGATCAGCTTACGGATTATGACGTCCCCAAAGTCGCCACCCCGTGTCTGTTTTATGTGATGCCGCATAGTCAAAAATTTTCCCCCAGACAAAACAAAATTTCAAACAATCTCAATTTCAAATTTCAGGCACGTGACTAGAGTAACGTGTCGACAGAGACTCGTGTCGATTAAAAGAAAAAATAACTGAAAAATCGTCACAGAGTCGACTTTTGTCGATTCCTGTCGACAAAAGTCGACAAATGTTGAGACGAGTCGACACGACACCGGCATAACTTTATGAAGGCCTAACTGCTGCAAATTGAATTTTCTAGGCCACTAAAGTTATGACCTAGAAATGGTCTATCATTATCCCGGTGTGATTTTTAGGCCGTTTACCATTGTGGCCTAGAAAACTCAACTTATAAAAGTTAGGCCACCATCAGATTCCGTATACCGTAAAATTTTCATTTGTCCGTATTCCGGATTCCGAGAAAATTATTTTATTCCGGATTCCGTCACTCAAAAAAGTCATTACGGACATCTATGATTTATAGGCATTAAAAGTTTCGCGTCCTAGAAAATTCGTTTTGAGAAAATTAGGTCACCATATAGTTAGGTGTCGTGTCGACTCGGCTCGACATTTATCGACTTTTGTCGACATTTGTCGACTTTTGTCGACACGATATCGCTCTTGGTGAAGGTCGACTCCTTCAAAACGACGTTTTGACTCAAAATCGATCGACAATCGTGTCGACACGTTACTCTACACGTGACTCATTATCATCTTCTTCATGACCCATCATCATAATCCAGCCATCGTCAACCTTATCTGATAATAAACAGAAAACCATGTAGAGATATATGTAGAAAAGTTCAAAATGTTTTATTTGCGTGCCATATTTCGTGCCTTTTCTAATGCTGCCATATTTTTTTGATTTAAAATAAATGTTACTGTATGTTTCCACCCTCTCCTTGCTTTCATTCATTTTCTCAGGTTCACTAACCTTCCTCTTATTATAACTGATTTTGTAAAACTCGATAACTTTTTTACAAATTTATTGTTTCACACATGGCGATGTCCATAATACCTGGATGCACCGTCTACAACTAGATCCAAATATAAAACATCAGGGGCGATTCATCAAAATAGATGTACAGTCAAAATAGAGAGCGATGGGATAGTAGTTGTAGAGACAGAAAAAGACAAAAATAAGTATTTTTGAGAGAGATTTCCCCATTGGGGAATACAGTTGGTATGTCAGTGACACTGTCATCTGACAGGGAAGAAAAAAAGAACATGAGCGAAAATGCTCAAACGGAGAGAGACGGAGCAGAGAGACCGTTCAAAAAAGCTGGGAACAATACTGGTGGAGCGACGGTAGTTGGTTCGAAGACTTGTGGAGATGGCTGGAGGAGGAACGTGATAAGAGCTGGAGTGACGGCAGTTGGATTTTGAAGGAGTTGATTGATCAATCTGTAAGAGGGAACAGTTAGTTTCCATGACATCTCGGTGCTCAACTTACGATTGTTTGAAGAGACTGGTGACGTCGACACCGGCAGCGCCGAGTGCTTCCATAGTGAGATCCATCTCTCCGTAAGGAGAGAGCAGTGGTGGAGATCCGGAAGGAGTGCTGTCATTGGTGGTGCTCGGTGGGGTAGAGATCACACTATCTCGGTCATCAGTTGTAGTTGTTAGAATTGAACTGCGGCGAGTGGTAGTGGTGTAGGTTTGATGTCCTGAAATATGGATTGTTGTAATTTGGAAACTGTAGTTTTGATTCTTACCATTCTTGTCACTGGTGTAGGTCACCAAGGTTCCATCCGGTTCGACCAAAGTCTCCTCTTCGTTTCTGGCCACTATGCGCAGGCGCATGTTACCATTCTTGGATCGGAGAGCCTTGACCACAGCCGTGGACTGATCCGGTTGACGATGCCGGAACCTTCGGATTAGAGCATTGGCTCGCATGCTCATCACAGATGAACAGGTTCCGCAGTTGCAATCCTTGTACGGACAGACTCCAGCATGCCCCTTCAGGATGGCGTACAGACCGTGTCCTTCACACTTTCGGCAAGTGAGACGTTTCACTGAAAGTGATGTGGGTGGTTTAAATTAATTCCAGAAAGCAGGTGTAACTCACTGGCTTTCTTTTGAGATGAAGACGCAACGTCAACCAAAATGATCTCAGTGGAAGCTTCGACTGGAACGATAACTTGCATTTTTAATGCGCTGGTAGAAGGTGAAGAAGAGGAGAAAATTTAAGAGATTCGAGAACGAGAACACCGGCTGTTTTATGAAATGAGCTCCGAGAGCATGAGTTATATCTCTCTAAAAAAATGAAGGGGCGGAGTCGGAGGTCTGAAAATGCGAAGGCTATATGGGAGGAGCTAGAATCGAGAAGAGAATGAGAAAAACATAGATTTTCGGTCATCCATATCCTCTCTTCACACTCTCTCTCCCTTTTTCAGTGGAGATACATTTTAGGAGGATAACAGGATTAAATGTTAAGTGATAGGATGATGAGGTGGCAAATAGTGAAAAAGATAAAGTGAAGAAAGTTTTAGTTAAAGGCTAATCGAATAATGAGTCAGGAAGCTGAAAAGGTTGCAAATGGCAGAAGAAGAAGGAGAATATGGATTGGATTATAACAGATTTGAAAGACCAATCAAGAGAAAAAAGTGGGAAGAACTTATCAATGAGGGCTTCTTAGACTCCCGGTTCAATGTGACGTATAGGGTTCAATAGTTGAGGATATATCCTAAAAAGATTCCATTATCAATGTGTCGGCTGATAGCTCTGATAGCAGTAAGATTGAAACGAATTATGATGCATCATATCTGAAACTTCTTAGGGCTGGATTGTCATGTACGCTTATGTTTCCCCCATATGGGGGTATATACGAAGATCGTATAGTAGCCTTCCAGTTAAGCACGATCCGCGTACTTCCTTGTTATTCGAAGCTTCTAATTGTTTTCGCAATTATCACATATCCATGAGCGTAGACAAAGACTAACATTTGGCACATATGGGAATATAAAAACGATTATTGTTTTTCACATACCTACAAAATATGTCTGTCTTCTTGGAAAAAACAGTAACTTTAGCCGTACTTTTTAGCCCACCAGAAGCTTTGTCGAGTGGGAAGTCAGTGGATACCGGGAAACTGGAAACGTAGAGCCCTTTTTTCTTCAATCACACTTCCGCCGGCTCTTGATTTTGTCATAGATAATCGTGTCGTTTTTTTCTCACTGCTTTGGCTTGTAGGATAGATTTCGAGACTTATTTCCCTCCCTTCGAAAGCTCATCCTCGGGAATCCTGAGCTTCCTAAAAGTTACGTAAAATCCGATAATACTAGACGAGATTCCTGGAACTGTGATGAGCCGATCACATGAGAGGTGTTTTGGAAATTTTCAGAGACAATAAGAAATCAACATATGAGTCTGATGTGTAATGCGGGTAGAAGTCTTGGAAACTAGTCTTGGATGAGTTACAAGAAAATGTAAAAAGCCTTCTTCGTCCAAAAATGGAACAGTCTCGCATTCGTTAATGGAATCAATCAACTTTAACCAATATATTAGTACAGATAAAGTCTCAAATCAACACTTTCATGTAGTACTTTCCCCCGAAGCTACTGTAAGCTGCTCTCGTTACTCCTTTCCATGCGTTCCAATTGATCTAAATTCGACACGTGTTTTCTTTCCCGCAAATACAGGGCGTTTACCAATGAACAAGGCCATCAAGGTAGTATCTTTCCTCTCATTCTGTTCTCACTCCCGTTTCTTCGGAAGTATGACATGACCACCGACGAGATATCACACTACCTTGAATCGTAGTCGTATATGTTCTTCTCGCACGCATGAAAGTGTTTTGTATGCTGCCGAACTATACACTACACTCCTTTTATTTTTCTCTGAATCCGAGAGCTCAGTGTCTTCTTTTTCTTACAAACAAAAAAAATGAGTAGGAGCTTGGGATACTTATCCCACTATATCTTTTTGGGGGTGAATGGTTGAAAAATTAGATGGTCATTCAGTTAAAAAAGTAGACAGGAATGAAAGAAATCAGAAAATGATGGAAACAGTTTTTTTCTAAATGAAAAAGCAAAAGTTGCTGAAACGAAATATCAGGGAGCCGGCGAGATGATTCACCGTTTTCATATGAAACGAAAAAAAACGCTGTTCTTGTTCTCTTAGTTCACCCCCATTTTCCCCATTTTTTACGGAATCATCTCCATTGTTCAATTGACACACCCCTCTCTGGACACGCGCTCACCGGACCTATTGATACGAATACATTTCACTGTTTGACCAGTTGAAATATGGTATTGAAATTAAAAAGGACGATTTTCAGAAAGAAACTATTTCATACAGTTACTATACTCACCCAGAAATAATCGAGAGTCCCACGAAGACAACTACCGTTATCTAAAAATATGTTTATTTGCCGTATTTGTTTTCTCGATTTACAGTCCATTCTTTCCCAATAACAGAAAACTCAACGAAAAACAGTGAAAATCGAAAAAAAAGGCAAATACTCATTAGCTTGATGATCTTTTGCTAAATGCTCACTTGCTAAATATGCTCATTTGCTAAACTCGCTCATTTGCTAAAATAGTCTCACTTGCTAAATTTCATTTACTAAATTTCGATCATTTGCTGAATAGAGGATTTGTTCAAATTGAAGGCTTAGGCTGAAACTCCTTACCGGAAAACAGGAGTTTAAGCCTAAGCCTAAAATTTAAAGCAAAAACCGGAATATTCTGTAAAAAATTCAGTCAACAAGTACTGAAATTAGAAAATAACAGCAAAATTTCCACTTTTTCATTTTTAGCAAATGATCAAAATTTACTAAATGAAATTTAGCAAGTGAGACTATTTTAGCAAATGAGCGAGTTTAGCAAGTGAGCATATTTAGCAAGTGAGCATTTAGCAAAAGATCATCAAGCTAATGAGTATTTGCCAAAAAAAAACCTGAAATTAAGAATTTTTAGGTTACTGTCGTTGTGGGACCTTCGGCCTTGGCCACCGGCGTTTCTCGCCTAGAATTCAGATGTTTTTTTACCATATTAATATATTGAACAGTCTCAAAAATAATCAGCAATTAATTATCAATTATTATATTCCCTCATGTCTGGTTTTTCAAAGTTGACTCATTCTTGGTAGATGGTTTTTTATGTGAACAACTCATATACCATATATGGTTGAATTTCAAATCAGTTCTTGGCAGAACTTAGTAGCAATCGTAATTCATATATCCAACGGTTTACTTTTTGAAAAATTTCCTTCTTCATCATGCAGATTGCTGCTACTCTCTTTGTGTTTAGTTTTTTGTCCAGGTCCAGGTGGACTTTACCCTTTTCCAATTCATCACACCATTCATCTCCAAACGCAGAACAGAGTCTACTCTTTTTTGATCACACATCGCTATTTTTTTCACCTCATTTTCTTATCACTATCACTCTCTCAATCAGTGTAACATCACGAATAAAACATTTCGGAAATCAGCTCGAAATCGAGTAGTCTTATCGCAACTCAATTTTCCCTTTCTCTCTTTTCCTCTCTTTTGTTCCTCAATTTTGAAATGCTATGAAACAATCTAATAATTTCAGGGTAAACAATGGTCCTATTCTTGATTATTCTAATAGTCATAATAGGTCTTCTTCTCTGGAAGTGGTTGGATATTCGAAGCACCGATGAGCTGACCAATGCACTGAAGCTTGTCAGCAGTGGAAACGGCCAACATGTGTTGTCGAATGCATTCCAGGTGCTTTTACACTTTCTGTCCGCAATTTTTAATTCTGATAAAAGTGTCCCAAATTGGGAGACCATTTCAAAGAAAACTAGAAAAGTGTGTTTCAGTACATGCAACTTTTTTGACTCTCCGGAAGTCTCGCAGTAATTTCCGATGAGACAGGTGTAAATGTTTGAATTTTTAGTTCGCGTAGGATATGAAATTATGATTTCACATTACATATTTCCATATTCAACATTTCGCTTTCTTTTCTGGAAATCAGAAATAGAACAAACAAAATGCTGAAAGGTGAAATAAGAGTCAGATTCAAATTAGATGAAACGTCAGATTAGGAAAAGAGGGAAAAGATTGAATTTGCAGTTGGTCGCTAAAAAGAAAAATGAGAAATGGGGACTTGGTTCTAACAGTATACAAATGTGTACAAAAATAGGTGGACTCTCCAAAAAGAATAACAAAGAATGAAGTTGCTAAACCTGAAATCGATTTATTTCAGGTAGACGAAAAATCAAAGCGACACGGGGGAGAGCTTGTCGCTTCGGTACTCAAGGCTCATGATGTAGAAGAGATTTTCGTTCTCTGTGGAGGACACATCTCTCCAATTCTCGTTGCTGCTGAAAAGCTCGGAATCAAAATTGTGGATACGAGACATGAGGTTATCAAGGTTATCAGAAGGTGTTCGTGAATTTCAATAATTTTAGGTTACCGCTGTTTTTGCTGCGGACGCTGTTGCCCGTCTCCGTCAATCCATTGGAGTTGCTGCCGTGACTGCTGGTCCAGGACTTACCAACACTATCACTGCTGTGAAGAATGCTCAAATGGCCGAGAGTCCATTGCTACTCATCGGAGGAGCTGCGCCAACTCTCTTGAAGGGAAGAGGAGCTCTCCAGGTTCGAATATATTCCATAAACTGGCAAGTATTTCAAAATCTAATTTTCCAGGATATCGACCAAATGGTTCTATTCCGTCCACTCTGCAAATACGTTGCTCGCGTCGAACGTCTTCGAGACATCGTCCCAACACTTCGCCAAGCTATCAAAGCAGCTAAATCTGGATGCCCAGGACCAGTTTTCGTCGAGTTCCCGGTTGATGTTCTCTATCCGTATGAACTGGTTGTAAAGGAAATTGGATTCAATCCAAATGCCAAAGGATTCATCCAAAAGGTTCTTAACTTCTATCTTCGTTGCCACGTTTCTCGCCAGTTCAGCAGTGCCTGGATTCAACAAGACATTACCCCACTTCCAACCAGCATCCCAATGCCAAAAAGTGAACAAATTGAAGAGATTGTTCAACTGGTTAAATCTGCGAAACGACCGGTTCTTCTCATCGGAAGCCAGGCTACTCTTCCACCAGTCAAGCCTACTGATTTAGTAAGAGCAGTTGAAGCTCTTGGATGTCCTGTATTCCTTGGTGGAATGGCACGTGGACTTCTCGGAAAAGATCATCCACTTCAAATGCGCCAAGTTAGAAGAGATGCTCTTAAGGACGCTGATTTGACTATTCTGGCTGGAACAGTTTGTGATTTCCGTTTGAGTTATGGAAGAACCCTTTCAAAGAAAAGTAAAATCGTTGCCCTCAACAGAAACTACAGTCAATTGACAAAGAACGAAAAGGCGTTTTGGAATTCAAATGTTTCAATTCAAGCAGATGTTGCCACATCTCTTGTTCAAGTAGCAAATGCACTCGGATCGAATCACAGTAAACCATCAGAATGGGTGAAGACACTCAGAGAGAAGGATAACGAGAAGGAAGCTGCAAATGCCAAGAAGATGGAGCAAAAACTGACTAATGGATTCCTGAACCCACTTAACTTCCTGAAGACGTTAGACCAATCCCTTCCTGATGATGCTATTCTTGTGGCTGACGGTGGAGACTTTGTTGGATCAGCTGCTTATATTGTTCGTCCACGTGGACCACTTCAATGGCTGGATCCAGGAGCATTCGGAACACTTGGAGTTGGAGGAGGATTCGCTCTCGGAGCAAAGACTGTTTATCCAAAACGACCAGTGTACATCATTTGGGGAGATGGCTCATGCGGATATTCTCTGATGGAATATGACACGTTTGCCAGACACAAGTGAGTTGAAAAAGGAGAGAATAAGAAGATGAAAGCAAAGTCGATGATTATAGGCTCCCCGTCATCGGAATTGTTGGAAATGATGCTTGCTGGACACAAATTGCTCGTGAACAAGTACCAATGTTCCAAAGTTCGGTGGCTGTTGATTTGGCGGTAATAGGATAGATTAGAAACATGGACATCAATTGATTTTTTCAGAGAACTCGTTACGACAACGTTGCCAAATCACTCGGATCCTGGGGAGAGACTATCGATGAGCAAAATGTCGATGAGACTCGTAAAGTTTTGGATGAAGCCCTTGCCGTGTGCCGATCTGGAGAACAATCCGCTCTCGTTAATGTGCTTATTGGAAAAACCGATTTCAGAGAGGGATCTATCTCTGTCTAATTATATATATATATATATATATATACCATTTCTTATGATTCTCTTGTTCTTCTCTCATTCCTTTTTCGTTTGTTTTTGTGTACGGTGTGTGCCAGATGTTTATTCCATAAATTTTGTTTGAAAAATCATGCGTTTCGGATGTTCCGCAGCTTTTCAGTGACCATTGGCGATTAGTCAGTGAATCAGGATTGTGTTTTTACAGGATAATCTTCTTGGATCATTAGACGTCACAATCTTTTATACGAGGTGTCTACTTCCAGGGAGGAATTTATTGAAAGAAACGAAATATACAATGAGACAACTACACCATTTAATTTTCAAACATTTAGAGAAGTAATAGCCAGATATTCTTTACGATGGTCCAAGTGGAATTGAAGAGCAGCAACAAAGTTTCGGAGGATATTTCGAACATCGTCATCTTTCACTGAAAATTTCGTATTATTCTTGTATGGAGGCGGTGAACTGAGATTTGATTCAAAGGCGCATCGTCAGTTCTGAACCGAAAACAGTGAAATTTTTCTGAGAAAATGACTGCGCTGTCGGTACCGTATCTCGAAATTGTTTTATTTTTGCCTATTCCTCTTAGATTTTTACTCTTTTCCTTTGATTTCCCTCCGATCCTCAAGAAGCCAAACTAAATGTGTTTCGAGATACGGTATCAAATGCGCATGCATTTTCTCGAAAAAAAAATCACTGACTTCGCTTCAGTACAGACGATTGAAATACATTTTCGCCCGCAAGGGTCATCGCCGCCGGACCAAAACAATACCTCTAATATGTTTCATTTCTTCTAAAGGAAGCTGCTTCAAAAACTCCTGATAAATATATTCCATTTGAGGTGACAAATTCGTAGAATCTTTGTTTCCAATGATATCGAAAATCTGATTTTCATATTCTTCCTCGGTAGCGAGAATGGAAGATTTCGTCGGTTTTGCTTTTTGTTTTGGCATTGGGCAGAGAGCAAAAAGTGGGCAAATTCCGCCGCCAACTTTTTTGGTCAACATGAAAATGAGCTGGAAAGTTCTTGAGTAATACAAATATGAGCATCCTAAACCAACCTCGAAAATAGCAGCACAAAGCGCATTCGGAAGAATTGGAATCTTTATTGTAGATGATAGACCAATAGAGCACACGGTAATTCCCACATGTTTCAAAAGACCGCCACCGAGTACAAGACCTGTTACTAAACCGAGCACATCCTGCATAATACTGCAAACTGGACACAGAAGATGTAGAGGATTGAGGTCGAGTTGCAGTGGATCAAGTCTTAGAGTTTCGTTCACAGGATACCCATCTTGATAGATAGAATCAGAATACAGTACTCTAGAAACTACGTCGACTGGACTGGCTGCCAGAAAGAGGAGAAAGACTAGAACTGGCCGATGATTTAGAAACATTTCGAATCAAAGATTTGTGGTCGACAGGCTATAATTTTTATGCTCAACGAGGTGATAAGGATGTTTTGAGGTTAAAGTGTTTTTGTTATTAATTCAAAAGTTATTATCAGTCAAAAGAATACAAACTCGACACTGTCTGAATGAAAAATAATGATCAAGGAACAAAACGGTTTACAATCGACTTCCTGGTTTATGAAACAAAGGTCTGAAGCGGAGATCTGCCTGAAATTTATTTTACGGACGTCGTCAAAATGAAAACACAAACTCGCGAATTGGGAACAGGAAAAAACGGTCTTCTATTCAATTAAATTGAAACTTTTCGACGACGGATCTCTCTTCCGCATAATGCATACAAGAATGGTTATTCTTGAATGAAACAAATGAACAGTTGAACTGAGTATCTCTTCTTTTTTTTTGGAATTTGCTTTTCAGATATGAAAACAAAATATAGAGAAACTATCTATAATTGAGATACAGTAAGACCTGTGGCACTGTTTGAACACAGTTGTCTCATTTTCTATAAAAGATATCAAAAAGTGGTCAACTGACAAAATGTTTATTATAATGACTGGGCATGCATAAACATTTCTGGTGATGTAAGTCTCACCAAAAAAGAATGAGAAAAAGTCTTAAGAATATTGTTCGAATATTCGAAAATTTTAAAAAGTTGAATTTTTCCAGATACCGTAAAACCTGTATTAGAAGGGCCGGCCCTTCTATTTTTCGTGGAGTCCCTAAGGGGGCACTTCAATTAGAGGGGCCCTTCAATTAGAGGGGGCACTTGTATTTTTCGTGGGGTCGCTGAGAATGGAACTTTTATTGGAGGGGCATCATTTTTCAGTAAAATTTCGTTTTTCTTCTCAGAATCCATTACAATTTCTCCATAAACACAAAATTTCTAATATTGTCAAATTTTCGAAAACTGGCACCTGAGCGTTGTTCGTACCGATTTACGAGGCCCCGCCCTCAAATCCCATATTATATAGAACGAAATTAATTTTTCTCAATAAAATCCAGGTTTCTTTAATAAAATTCAGGTTTCTTGGTAAAATTCGCTGGAATTTCTAGAAATTTTTCAAATTGAAAATCCAAACGAAAATCGCTCGAACGAGACGAAAATCTGTAATATAGCGACGGCATTCAAATTCTCATGTGACAGTTTTTCAAAAATTAGACAATGATTCAATCAAAACAACGGAAAAAAACGGCTGAAAATCAAAGGGATAGTCAAAGGGGCACTTCAATTAGAGGGGCCCTTCAATTTCAGGGGTCCTTCTAATACAGGTTTTACGGTATCTCCAAAAATTGTTTTTTTGTGTTCGTAAATGAGCAGCTTGTTACAAAATGTCTTATTCTTGTTAAAAACAACAAGAACCGACCAACTGCGTTGTATTTCCAGAACTTTAACCTTTACAAATTTAGACATTCTGCGTCTCCGTTTTCATCTGGTGGACACCTGAACTACGTAAAAAGTATCACTTTTTTCAGTGAATCTAATCATGTTTGATCCCATCTGCTGCATCTACCTCAGGATTCTTCTTCATCCGTATATCTAATTTCTTTCTGTCAGAAATCAAAGAAAAAACCTTCGAGAAAATGTTTTTCTTGGTTCTCAGAATATGTGATGTGTGGTGCAGTTTTTTCTTTGAGTTGTGGCAGCTTTACTTCTCTAGAATTCAGTAAACAAATCTGCTCACCACACACAGACAATTTTTCTGATTTGTATTCATTTTTGTAGGTTGTGCCGAAGGTGGGAGGTGAAACTGAATTGTTTTCAGGAAGTTTCAGGAACCGGTACGAAGAAATTTGCTTCATATTTTTGTCTACAAACTGTTTTTACCAAAATTTTGTATATAAAGTCTTCCTCCTTCCAGTAAATTTCTCTTCTGAAGTTTCTCCATTTCTCGTATAAATTTCATGTTCTTCTGATTTCTTATCCGCCGTCGCTGCTCATTTTCGTACTTCCTCTTTCCCAATGACACCTAAATGTGTTTTCGTCAAAAACAGAAGAGAAGCTTGAGTCATTTTGTTTTCGAATGTCTTCAAGATTTGAAAACCCTCATTACATGTCTTTATTCGAGATTTTCCCCATATCTTCACAACGCGGTACACATATTTTTTTGAAACGGATAGAAGTGACATTTTTGATTTTTTGAGGACATTTGGAACCGTAGATGGAGATTTCCTAATTCGGTTCTAACTGAAATAATCTTTAAAAATTTAATAGAATGGCCCCTGACTTTGAACTTTGGGACACTTTATCTCGGTTCCTGTCAAAGATATAAAACAGTTGTCGACTGATATAATGTTTGTGATATAATGATAAACAATTTATGAGTTTACAACTGTTTTTATCTTTTACAGATACCGAGATAAATTGGCTCAAGTCTAAAGTTATGGGCTCTTCTATTACAGGCTTTACGGTATGTGTTACTAAGTTCATAAATGTGTCGATAACTTGTTCCAATGTCCAATATTCATTTAAATCCTTTTTTCTAGAACACCTTGCTTTCTATTTATTCGGCTCTCATTTTTTGTTTTTCATCTCGATTCTTCGCTTTCTTGTTAGTAGCAAAACCGGCAGATGGTGGGAATCAACCACTGCAAATTATTCATGCAGACAATTATTTCCTGCAAATTTTGTATCCAGTCTACAATTATTATTTGATTTTTTGGAAAACACCAAGGTCTTCTCCCAGAAAATGTTCGCTCAGATAATGAGTACAAATCTTGCACCTTGGACATGACTTGTTGGTTTACGGGTGTATATAAGCTCACACATTTTGTACCCGATGTATCATTTATTCTCTGATTTTCTAATGTAGCCTTATTTGTATCCTGGTTGTTCAGTAATCTGAGCGACGTTGATGGAGATATTTAACAGATCATCCACGGTGTGATCATCCACTGTGTGAGACTTCGTGAATTTGTTTATTGATTTTTTGTATGCTTCAATAAATTTCTTGTCGATAGCTGATTCTACTTTCGGTAGTATAGTTATGCCTTGGCTATGCGGGCGGGCCGTTGACTGTCACCGTTTTTTAACGAAATAATGCTAGACACGGTAGCTGTTGACTTAAGTACAAAAATTCTCCCTAGCCTTAGGAAGCTCATACTCAAATTAGTTGTCTGAAGCATTAGATGTCAGTAATTTCTGAGATTTAACCCATATGTATCTACCATAGATATCATCTGCCGGTTCTGAGTACCATAAGATTCCCAGAATGATCATAAGGCATTCTTGACAGCTAGCTCATATTAATCATTCGGAACCGAAAACTGGTTTTGTTAGCTTTCTTCTGCTCGATTCGGAGAACGAAGTATTCAAACTTTTCTGTGGTTTCTTGGTTTTTTTAGGCTAACCCGATGAGTCAAAAGCCAGATTTGCCATGAAATTTTTGAATAATTCGAAGCTGAGTATTACTTTTTTAACACTCACTAAAAAATATTTCCAATAGGTACATGCTCGGAAACACATTTTCTTATGGTACTAAGCATTTATCCTCTTATAGTTAGCTCCATTTTCTACAAACTGATATAGAATAGGTTTCCAAGAGACGCAAACATGTGTGACAAGTACAAGTACAAAACGCATTCTGTGCTTCTCGTTTTCTCTGTGCTCTCCACTAACTCTTCGTAACCTCTCCTTCTCCCGTTTCTATGAATAAGAATGCTTGAATTCTTGAACTCAACATCTATATCAAAAAACATGCGACAACATCCAGAATAGTTCCTAAATTTTCGGATCTTTGCGTTTAGCCGGGGGGGGGGGGGGGGGATTTGTGAGCACTAGCATTATCCTACGTGTGGGATGAGGAGATATAAAGTGGGGAAGAGAGAAAAATAGTAATATGTGATATCTAGTGTGCTCCATAATCTTCTATTGCTTATTTCGTGTGCTTTTCTTCTCATATTCAGTTTAAGACTCAGAATAGAGCACGTTCCGTGTTCTTTCTTCTTTCCTCTTTAATCATTATTATTTTTCCGTTCTGTGGTTTCCGACACATTGCTTTTTTCAGCTGGTTTCCGACACCTACACATTTATATTTTTCAGAATGTTCGACGAATTCGTATCTGCGATGAAAGAACAGAAGAAGGATAAAAAACCAGAAACTAAATGTTAGTGTTATTTTTTTTCTTAAACTACGAAACCTGTAATAAAAAGACCCCTAACTTTCAACTTTTAACACATTTATCTCGGTTCCTTTCAAAGATATGAATAAGTTGTCAACTGAAAAATTTTGTATCATAATATCAGAAATGTTTTGTTAGTTAACCACTTTTTGATATCTTGCACAGGAATTGAGATAATTGAGCTCAAACTTGAAAGTGTGAGGGCCCTTCTACTTTCAGTTTTGTAAGAGTTATAATAGAACTACAAAAAATCAAAAGTTCGGAAAATAAGGTACAAGTTTAGTTCAGATTTTATGTTACTCGAAAGCAGGAGAAGAGATGAACTATCCAAACGTATTTTAAGAATTTTAGGCATTCCCATATTTCAAAACACCTCTGAAAATTCTGTTTTTCAGCCAAACTGAAGCAAATTACTGACGGAAAAATGACTTCGTTTGCTAATCATTCATTCAAAGTCTCCCAAGGAAATAGTTATCGTTTCGTAAGTTCTCATTTTATTTCACACAGCCAATATCTGATTCCAGCCATCAAACCAATTTGGATACAGTTTGTCCACATTCTCACCGTTCTTTCTCCAAAATTGTTGTGATGTGATTCGTCGATTTTTACGGTTGGAAGCGTATTGCGATGCAGTTGATGATCTTTCCGGACCACTCCCAAAGTCTATGTCAGGTTCAGCTGAGTTGGATCTTTTCCAGGCTTTGTTCTTTCCAAGAAGTATTGCTCCACGAACACCGGTATCTTATATACATGCCATAACAAAACTGCAAAATGTTCACAGATGAAACCAGCTGCTGCCACCCAAATGGCAGAACAAACTCTATCTGCAATGTGGTTCCGTCTCGTTGCTCATTACTTCGAATGGCTCGCTGGAATCTCGGAGCTACAGTATCTCGGAGATGAGGATAAACTTCGGTTGGCAGTGTGTCAACTTTGCAAAGTTGTTTGTTTTTCGGTGGTCTACGCGAATTACAATCGAGCATTAGATGGAGATGAAGAGTTGTTGCACTTTGGATCCGGATTCTATTGGGATCCAGCAAGAGGAAATGATCCACTGTAAGTTTGGAAATGAAGAAAGGAGAATCAAAGGATTTTCATTTTCAGAATGGATGATTACTGCCAAGAAATGAAGAGGATCATCAATCACATCATTGAGCCGGTCAAAAAAGTTGGAATGTCAAAAGAAGAGTTTGTTTTGGTCAAACTCATTGTTCTCTTCGATTGCAGTGAGTGTTCACATTGCATGTATCAGAATCCATGATACATTTTTCAGCTAATTTGATGGGACTCTCGCCTGCCGGTCTTGAGTTCACTAGATCGATGTGCAATAAATATCGAGTGACGTTGATGGAGTATGTTGGAATGAAAATGGAAGAGATGGCTGATTCCAAAGGATGGAGTGAAGGCGAAGTCAAAAATCGTACTATGGAAAGAATGAGAAATCTTCTGGACCTTCCAATTGGTGTGGAGGTTTGTATTTTCAGCATATCGTAGGACCTGTATTGGAAAGGGCTGGTCCATCTATTGGGGGGGGGGTCTCTAGGAGGCACTCACTTCAATTAGGGGGGCCCTTTTAATACAGGTTTTTCGGTATATTCTATTGAAAACAATTCTATAAGCAATTGCAAACGTCTAAACGAATTTTCAGAAACTCGGAAAGCTGGACGACGATAGTCTTGCTGCAATGGTGGAGAGCAACTACGGTGGAATGCGTGGAACTCTGCAACAACAAATTCACACTGAATCGAGAAAAGTACGACATCACTGAAACCTTCTCATGCCATCCAATCGAAACATATTTTATTTGTGATGTAAATTTTCGTATAGTATTATATCTTTTGTGTTCTTACTCGACAATGTACATTTCTCACACAATTTTGCACATAATTCTCTATTTTCCAGTCCCCGTTATTCGAATATTTTCAGCTTTTTTTCCATTTTCAGTCTAAAAAATCTCTTCGTTTATTCCGTTTTGCGTGTGAAGTGTGGGGGAAGTCCAAGTGTTTTACTCTTTTTTTCTGAATAGGAAAAGTAACGAAATTCGCAACAATTCTGGAGAGAATGTCTCCCTTTTTTACAACTTTAGGCCTCATGTGGATGCTTCTAATTGAAGAGAAAAAAAAGGAAAAATTGGAGAAGAAAAAGGAGATTGTAAAGTGGGAGAAGCATAAGGTGCCACGTCATTTTCAAGTACCATAATCAGATGAAAGCATGCAAGTGTACGATGCACCAAGTGGACTTAAGTCGAAGGAAGTTCAGAGTTGAAAATTCAGCTTCTACTGTAATCTTATTTAGAAAAGCTTTTGATTGGATTCAATAGTGTAACTGTACTATGAAAGAATTATTTCAGTGGTTTCTTTTGGGACACCGGGTACAGTTAGTATGCTAACTATGCAATATACTAGTATGCAAAAATCGGAGCTGTGAAAGATAAACACCGGTGGCCGCGGCCAAAAGTCCCACAACGACAAATACAGTAACCTAAAAACATGTTTATTTTCCGAAATTATTTTCTCCATTTTCGTGCGTTTTCAGTCAATTTTTCACTATCAAAAAAAGGACCGGACATTTTAGTTTGTCGTGATTTTCGTAATGGGACCTTCGGTTACTGTCACTGGCGTTTCCCTTCCACAGCTCCAATGTTTTGTACCAGAATAATAGCTCATTTTATTTTTTGGTAATTTCTCAAAATTTCGAAAACCTCTGCAAAAAGAGCCACCAAATTACTCTATAAATCCTGTGACAATGTTTTTTTGTACGTCACTTTTTTTTGAAATACACCGGAAAAGGCATCCAGGAAAAAAGTAAATAGATGGGCGGTACCTTGAAACAAAACAAAATTCTCCTTTGTTTTTTTTGTTGCAAAGTAGTGGGCGCGACACGAGGATCAGAGAGTGTCCCGTGATATCCGGTCTCTCGTTCTAGAATATTTTAAAATGATGATGATGAAAGATGTTAACATGGTGATGACGTCAATTTTCAGATGACAGATTCAGACATGATTCAATTTTTCGGGTAAAATGAGAAAAGGGAATACAGAGAATAAATTAAAAATGGAACTGGGAAAATATTATAAAGGTTCCCTTTTGGATTCATAGATGTCATGAGTTCCTTGTGTTTTGAACATTGAATTGTTTGGTTTAGCGTTTTGTTTTTAAACATTTTTGAAATAAATTCAGTTTTCCATTATTTTCCATCTTTCGAATTTTATTGCAAAAAAATCTATCTATTTAATTTTATCTCGGAGTAGGAAACATGTTGCCTTCCCTTAAAAATCTGATTTTAGCAGGAGGTATTGAATATTTAGCAGTTCAAGTTGGCAACATAGAAAAGTTTATCATGTTTGTCTTAATTTTGTTCAAAATGTCCGAAAGTTTATAGCTTCGGTATCTAGAGTTTTAAAATATTACTAGCCTGGCTGGCGCCCCTTGGGCTCGTTTCCGTCGATCCGCTCACTAAAACTTCATACAAGCCTCTTGAGGAGTTGAACTTGTGGGACCAGTATTGAAGATGTGGCGCCAGGAGAACGTTGAAACAAAGTTTGCCCGAAAAAGCATCTAAACTTGCTCAATCTTTGTCCAGAAGTTGCCCACATTTAGCGAGTATGTCCACTTCCAATCTTGCAGTCTTTCCTTCTTCCCATACTAAAAAATACAATTATTTTCTGCAATATCCCAATTTTCCGATCATTCAACTCCAAATGAACATATTTCCTGGGAACACCTGAGTTAGCCTACGATTGACCACTCAAATTGTCAATTATCCTCTGCGTTCTAAACCGAAAAACACCCCGACGGCTTCTCTTGCAACCAAATCGAATAAAAAACGTAATTTGTGTACATGTGTATAGAAGAGAACAATCAAAAATGACCAAATTAGGCCCCGCTGAAATATGATACTGGGTGGGTGGATTTATCTTGTTTATTGTGTATAATTTTTCTCAGGATCGACACGTTTCTGCACACAAGATTCTAAGATCATTGGACACACTGTTTGGGATCTCAATGATCCTTACTCATATTAATCGTTCTAATGCTTTAGGTGTTCGTCATTATTTTCAAACGAATTCTCAGAATTAATACTGTTTTCCACCAGATTTTGCATGATTTAAAATCCGTCACCAGATATGATACTAATCTCAATACGGTTTAAGAATTTTTCTAAGATCATAAATTTCAGTTCTCCTGAAAGTCTGGTTTCTGTTCAATTGTTTTCCAAGTTCACAAGTGGCTAAGAGTTTAAAATAGAACGATAGGTAAGGTCTAGACTCCCACCCTCCATTTCCGGAAATTCTCCTAAATTCGTCATGTTCATTGTCTAGGTAATCGAGTTCCGTCCAGTATTTAAGAATCTGGGGTAGACGTTTGGAAGTTTCAGTTTTCCTGTTTACCTGTTTACTTGTTTTGAAGTTGTAATCTTCCAAAATGTCATGTAGCTGTAATTGAAAATTTCTGAAACCCATTAGGTTTGATTCGTGCAGTAGGAGTCAAACTTTCTGAATTAGAATTCATAAGTGCTTTTAAACTTTTCTTCTTGTTTAAAAGATAGATTTCAAGTTGACTTTTATACCAATACCTTGAATTTCTTAAAACTTCTTGGAGGTATGAAAAATCCTAAAAATTAAAAATCTACTTTTGATTTTAAAAAAAGCCATTCACACTTTCGATTTCGTTTCAAAATGGCTCGGGTAGTCCAAACCTATCATCATCATTTTTCTATCGCCAACCCTCACCGAACCAATTTCTCATTTCCTTTTGTCTAGGAATTCCCCAAACACCCCGGTTGACAATTAGTTTCGTTATCCTTGAAACAAGTGTCGAGAGAAGATATAAAGAGTAGTACTCAACAATATATAGGTTGATGACGTAGAATTGTTTAGATGACGTCGTCAATGGGAATTCTGAAACTGTTTTGGCTACTCGTTCTACAAATGTTTACTCATCCTAAACTAGGCCAAAGTTTCTTTCCTCGATTACCCATCTTAGCCTTGAACCCCTCAATTTTTATTTTTGGTATCTCAAACCATCAAAAAAATGTGCGTCAGTTTATCATCTCCACCCCCCACCTCCACCACCACTCGTTTTCCCTTTTTGAACTCCTCCCTTCCTTTTCGTCACCCACTCGAAATTGGGATTGGCTCCGCCCACTTTTTCACGCGAATCTGGATGTACATAACAACCTTCCAAAAAAGGGAAATGCAAGGTTGGTCTTGTTCCAGTCCTGGTAGATTTCGTTTTTATCGGAGAATCTGGAATTTCAAGTTACCTTCTTTCCTGTTTTAGTCTTTTTTTTTCTGTTTATGAATGTCCCAAACACCCACGTTAACAAATTTGTTCCATGTGGTTCATTCTGAACCAGCTAACTGGTGTGCCTTCGGCGTGATTTAATCTAATTTTTACTGGTTCGTCGCTCCGCTCCTCACTTTTTCCTGAAGGGTCATGTAAATCTATAATTGTTTTTCAACTTTTCAAAAGTCCACAGGCTTAAACCGGGACCAACAGACTTTTTAAATAAAGCGAAGATTTGCAACTGTTACCTGAAGCTAGTTTACATTGTTTACAATCTTATTCCAGTTTTCTGTGTCACATGTGTTTGTCATTCAGATTCTCTAGGAATTCAGAGTCTAGACAAAAATAGGGAAGTCGAATGCCCCTCTGTAGGACTAGATTTTATTCCCTGAGAGATTGTCTCACTTTTCATTCGAAAGTGGGAGAACATGAAAAAATAAATGTCTCGAAATGTTATTGGGCCTCTCGAGGAGTTGAACTTATGGTGCGAATATTGAAGGTGCGGCGCCGCTACCGACTGAGCCACGCGGGCGAAGCTAAAACGGCAGCCCGAAGGCATACGAAAGCGATGGTGAACACTGAGGATTGCACACCATTACATGAGAATACCCTCACTCTAAAAAAATATTCAAAAAATCGCATGTCTCTCATCCTCCAAAAGCTCAATTTCAGATGTTTATGAATCTAACCATCTTCCCAAATGAAAATATGAGTTCTAAAACTTAATTAGTTACCACGACCACTTTCTCCTCCTGTTAGTATGCCAATTCCATTTGCTCCACACAACCTTCATGATTCTCCAAAAATTTTGTGTTTCTGTTTTTGACAGTTCCGTCTTCGTTGGCTCCTGCTCAATCTCTTCCTCTCATCCTTCTTATAAACCTACTACTATTACGTCGTCTACGCGCATAAATTACGTCTTCTGAATTTACATTTTAATGTTTTTTATTTTTCCTCCATCACTTCCACCCACTGTTTTGGTTTTTCTTTGATTCACCAATTCCTTTTATACTTCAGGTAACCACGGTCCATTACCGAAAAATGTTGAAATCAACTCTGTTCTCAGTGCTCCTCATGCTCCTTCTTGCATGCTCATTTGGAAATGTTTCTGGAAACGGTAAGTGGAATCACAAATCTGCCAAATACACAGTACCGTCTTGTGTCTTCTCTGAAATGTCCCGTCTCTAACGACTTGATTGTTTTCGTTGTTGACATCTCCTGATTTCCAAAAACGCACATGTTATGTATGCTTTTGGTTTTCCAGCGATTCGACAGCTTTTCCAAGTTCAACGACGCAGAGATCATTCAGAATTTGAGACATCAGGGGACGGAGATGAAGGTGCTTAGAGTAGAAATAGAGAATTGAAATGAAGCATTCAGATTTATTTGAAAATTTTTTATTATTTCAGAGTTCTTCCTGAGAAGTGCCAAGTGGGTCAGCAAAATGAATCCGTCTGGAGGAACTCTGGTCAGTGGGAGAGGTGGATTTCGTCCAGGTTTTGTATCCAGAGACTGGCGACATGCCATGGCAGAGCCAAATTTTGTCAAGGTAAGCGGGAAATTTGAATTCTGTGAGATCTGAACACATCTGAGATTGGATTTCTGTAACCAGGATATTTTCCATAAAATCGGACTTTGTGGAGAATACACCTTTGAAATTTCGTCATTTCCAAACCTATTCAATTTTCAGAGGTCCTACTACGACTACTGACATCATCAGAATGACATCATCTGAGTCTGAAAATGGACGTTCCCTCCTGCCCTCTTCTCTGATCTCTACCAACTTTCTTCTTGTCTTCTCTATTCCTCGTATTGTCTCTTCTTTTTGTTTTGAACATCTGTCTATTCTGAATATGAAAAGTTCCCGATTCCTCATTATATTTAATTCATCTGGCGGCCGTTTATCTCGTTTCGTTGTTTTTTCACTTACTTCTTCTCTTCAGCTTTTTTATTTTTGTGCTGCGACGGTGATGTTGTCAAATCGTGAGAAAGAAATAAATATTCATTCATGTTGCCAAATATTTTGTCTTTCGTTTTTCATCACATTTGAGATTATTTTCAGGAGTGTGAATGGAATGGGAAGTGTTGGGTGAGATGGATGATGTTAGAATGGATCAAAATATCAAACCGATAGATGTTCCATCTATCATATGTCCCATATCGAGAAATTTTTGATGAAGTTAATATCTTACATTGATAGTTACATAAAAGTGTTCTGAAATGTTTTTTACCCATCTGTTTACTCCACTTTGGGGCTAAACCTCTTGGCGTTTGCTTAGAAACCAGTAATCTAATGAAAAATGTTTTGTTTTTTATATGAGCAACTGTAATGAAGAAGAAAAAACATTCGAAAGAAATTCAGAATTTCGAAATTTCAGAATTTCTCAAATTCGGAAATTGGAAAATACAGAAGTTTGAAAATTGTTAAACTCAAAAGCTGAGAACCTCAGGACTTTAGAACTTCGGAATATTACAAATTCAAAATTTCAGAAATTTGGAAATTCAAAAACTTTTGAATCATCAATTTTTATTTAAAAATTCAAAAAACTGAATAATTAGAAATTTAGCAATTTGGAAAACCGAATATTAAAAGATTCCAAAATTCAGAAACTTAGATATTCCGAATTTAGGGATTCATAAATTCCGATTTAAGAATTCGTAGATTCCCAAATTCTCTAATTCTATGTAATAGGGTTTTTTTCATGAAGAAAAGTTGAAAACCCCATTTTCATGACCAAACTTTTTCTTCTTGAATAACCTCATGAATATGTCTCTGTTGCTAACAAACAGTTAATGTTAACAAACAGTTATGAATGTGCGAAAGCGACCAAAATACACACAAAATGATTTAGAAACATTAGAGAATCAAATGATTTTTTATCAATTTCTTCTTCTTTTTTCTCAATTCTCCTTTTCCTCTTTAATGCAACCGTGTCATTGATTACTTCAGTATTCTGTTCATTCTGCGAAAATCCATACGGTAATATCTATAAGCTCTTCCTTAATAATAATAAAATATTTTCAGATGGAAATTTCAGAAAGCCAAGACAAGGTTCTCGTCTTCATATGATTTGTCAGCATTGTCAAGTTTAACGAAATAGTGCCACCTGTGAAGTATGTAAACGAGAACATGCGTTTCGAGAAGTTCGGTATAATTATGACCTAATCAGGATATTAGAAGAAATGGTTACGACAGATGAAAAGTTTGAAGATCTGCAGAAAAACCCACAGGTTTAGTCAATACCGTAATTAAAAGTTTCAATTCATTTTTGAGAGAAGGGGTATTGGGAGCTGTTCCAATTGCCACTCAGATGAATGTCTTCGTTTCTGTTTGACTTGTGCTGAAACGAGAGGATTTCTTCAGAAGTTATCGAATGGAACAATGATGATTATTGGATCGGATAAATAAATCACTTCAACTCATGGCAATGTGTTTTGTGTGTGCGAACTGTATAGGAAATGAGCATCATGATAGAGATCACGAAACGAAAAGGATTCCGGATGTGCAGATTCTGGAGAATATTTTGAAATTGTGGACCCTTCTAGTTCATGGTCTTCTTTTGGAACGGCAACTGAAAGAAAAGAAATATACTGAAAATCAAGAATATTTGCGAGATTTCATCGATGGATACAAAAAAGATGCAATCGATTATTCCAGTTTTTTTAGTGTCTATAATTTGAAAACAATCGAAGATAACATAAAAAACATCGAGATAGTGGATATCCATCAACTACCAGAACTTTCGGAGGCAAAAGAAAAATCCTTCCAAAATAGCAATAGAGGTTCAGCTGGAAAATCGGAAACTGAAGGAACGAATTTTTAAGTACAGGAGGAAGAGATCAGCCATATCATAAATTGGTATTGAAGAAATGCAGGGAGTCTGGAAACGATGAAGAGTTGGAGGGAATTGGAAAAGAGCTTGCTGCGATGGTTGAAAAGTATCAAAAATAATTATTATTAAATTGAAAGCAGCAGAAGTTGAGAAAATTGATAAAGAAGCAGAAGAGAAATTGGCGGAACTATTGGCTTTTCGCAGAGTTATCGAACCAACAGATGCAGTGGTTGATCCCCAGTTTCTCAAATACAGAGCTATCAAGAAGGAATCTGAAAGATTGGAATTTCAAATGAACGAAGCTCAAAATAATCTGATAGAATCTTATGAGAAGCTTCATGATTTTATGCTGTATAATTCCACTATCGTTCTTGACTTTCTTGGAAAAAATTTTATCAAAAATGGTCCAGTTTCAGCTTTTTCAGCCATTTTTTCAATCAGGCTAGCGTGCCGGCGCGAGAGAGAGGGCGCAGACAGCCAGAGTAAATTTGAAATTTTTTCACTTTCCGGAGGCCGTGCAAGTCTAGGATTTCGAGGGCCGTGGCCTAGGAAACCAAACAAGTGGTCGTCAGAATTTCACCGTGAATTGAACACGGTGAGTTTTTCACTACCGCTGCTTCAACTTTCGAATTTTTTTCTCGAATTCTAGTCCATAACTTTTTTTCTGTTCCATAAATTTTTAGTAAATTTTATGAAGAATATATAGTAAAAAAATGAATCAGACTTTTTTTGTCCGTTGTACTTTAAAACGTCGCAGACTGTTTCGCATTCGGTAGTGAAAAACTCACCGTGAATTGAAAACTGTAGTGAGCGATGGGGCGCACTCGCGTTACTCTGCATGTCTGCGCTCTCTCACTCTCCCTTGTGTCTATCGCTGCGACTTCTTTTTTTGAATTTTCATTTTTCTCATATTTTTTCGAAAACCTGCTATTAATAGCCGATTAGCTACACTTTCAAATGGAAGAAAGAAAACCCGAAAAATACTACAAAACTGAAGACAACGATCCAATCGAATATGAAGAGGTATTTCAAAATTCCACATTGGTAGGCATTAATTTTCATTTTTCACAGGAAGCACCGCCTGATTTGACACCCCCACCTCCGATTGTTCAATTTCATAGCAACATTTCTCACTTTTCTCGGCCTGCAAAGTTAATGAATGCAAGATCTGATTTGTAGGTTTTTATTTCTTTTAAAAATATCGTTTTTAAATATTTATTTGGTACCATTGGCAGATAGCTATTAATAGGGCGAAATGTGCTAGTTACTCTATTTTTAAAACTTATCATAGTAAGAACGTTAGATTAATGTCATTACTATATAAGACTATGGAACGGTGGTAGCCAGCCCTTCTAAAAAACTCCTCATTGACAATATAGAGAAAGTGCGAAGCTCCTTCACTAGAAAATTGAAGAATAGAATAGTGGGTAGAAACTTAACGAGAATTGATAAGGATTACAAAACATCTCTAGACAGATTGTACGAATTCAGCCTAGAATCACTACAATCTAGACGGGAAAAGCTTGATCTGAAATTTTTCAACAAACTCATTCTAGGTAAAATTAATAATAATCATTTATCATATTTAAAAATTAGATCGACAAAAACGCGCAGTCGCCACACCTACCAATGGAAAACTCCAAAGTCTAAACTTAAACAAAACTTCTTCACACATTGGGTTCTTAGTAAAATGATGAGCTCTACAAAACGGATCTAAAAGCCTGCTGCTGTCAGAAGTTCGGAAAAAGATTTGTTATTATCCACCATTATTCATGTCTAGGTTAAGAAATATCATTTTTATGTCACCATGTCCCTTTTTGTCTACTTATTCTCTTTTTCATTCTTTTTATTTTTCCACTTATTTCTTACGTAATAAATACAATACAATACAATACCACACATCAAGTATGTTTTCAGGTACGAACAGAATGCATACAGTTCAGTGGAACGATATAATGAAGAGCTGGCGATGAGATTCTTTTTGGGAAATGGGAGATCGCTAGAAACTATCAACGATCCCCCATTCCTTAAATTTCTCCATCACCTAAATCCCACGAGAAACCCACCGGAACCATCATATATGACAACGAGAGCAATGACTGAAACTAGGGTATGCTTTCCTGTTATTTTAGGGAGAAATTATTACGGAATTGCTTTTAGCCGGATATCAAATACTTGCGAAATCTAGGACCATTGGGTATAACAATTGAAGCTGTGCGGAAAGCTGACGAAATCTATTTGTCCATTTCTTCACACTTTTATAATAGCCACGGAGAACGACAGAATACAGTACATTTTGAAAAAATCATTTTCAGAGAGTGAGTATTATTATTATTATTATTCTGATTGAAACATAGTTTGAAAAGAGAAACTTTGGTGGCCGTGGTCGAAGGTCTCAAAACGAGGACTACCGTAACATAAAAATATTGTTATTTTCCGGATTTTTCTCTCAATTTTCGTATATTCACTGGAAAACCTACAACCACGGCCACCAGCATCTCACAACTCTTTTAGGATCAGTATAATAATATTTAGTGTATTGCAGAAATAAATTGAATATTTTAGTTATGATGGAAGAATCGTTGCTGATCGAATCCGTAAAGTAGTTGATGCTCGTAAAGCGATGAATTATGCTGTCTCGTACATCATGTCTCCGAATTGCCGGATGCTGGAAATGATCACTGCAAATATGCCTGTGAAAAATAAGTGAGTCTTGAAATCCTTTTTCTTAAATTCCTTTATTTTTTAGATTTATCTGCGTCTTTTCTTATCTGACAATGATTGCAAACGAAGTGGTAAAGTTTCCGGAATTTTTAGCAGGTCTCAAAGTGTTGCGAGAGTACGTATCAGCCCTACAGAAGCATCGAGAAGTTTTTACGAAATTCAAAAAGTGAGTATTTCAGCCTGGAAGTAGTTCTATCATTATTCAAAGTTTAGAATGCAAAAAGATGCGAATGATTCTGCCGACATTCCCTGTTTGGATGTTGAAGGCGATTGGTTATCAACTCTCTATTTCCTTGCCAGCTGCAGCCATCTACATGAGACGTTTTCGAATATCCATGAAAACTGGTGTATGCCGAATTATCTGGATGCAACTGAAGAGAATTCATTGGCGAATCTACTAGATTTTCTGTTAGTTCTTTGCCGGGTAACAAGCGAAATCTGCTCGGAAGACAGTTGCATTTCCCAAGCACTTTATTCGATTTCGATGGTCCATAATTCCATTAAAAAATGTGGAATCAAATCAGCTCGAGAACGGATGAGGAAAACGTTCGATAAATACTACAAAAGTATGACAAAAGACAGAAGTGGTGACTATCTCACTGTTTCGTCGCTTTTGGATCCACGATACGCATATTCCACTCTTATTTTTAACGAAGAAAACTGGAATCTAATTGAGAAGAAGTTAATCAAACTCTTTGAACCATCACAACTACAGCAGCAAGGAGTGAAAAATGAGCTGAAAGACTATCGACAGTTGCATGAGAATCTTCCAGTTTTTGATGAAGTGACAACCCCTACGACATGGTGGAATGATCATAGAGATCAACTTCCACTGATGCATCGTCAGTGGATTGAACACTCTGCACTTCCGGCAGTGGCTATAGATGGCAAGCGGTTTTTTGCAAAAGGAGGAAAACTTGCTCATCTGTTTGCGACATTGGATGAAGAGCTACATTACAAAGCTATGCTCCTTGCACAAAGTTCTCAAGATTTCATGTAAGTTTAATTTTGTTTTTATTAAGATTGCATTTTACTGTTTTCAGTGGCCGTGGAAGTATGAGCAGTTCTGTTTTGAATCAAATCACAGAAGGTTGCAAGTTCAAACGTCTTGATCACGAACCAGATTCCCTCGAAGAAGAAACAACGGAACCTGTTGCAGAAGTTAAATTAGAGTGAGTTGATTGTAGCTCATGCCACTGTAACATGAATATTTTCAGACCAACGGACGAAACCAGTGAGAATAGTAAACTTGTGGAAACAGAACTAAAACAAGAGGAACCAAATGATTTTTAATGTTTTGTCATAGTTATGGGTTAATCTCGTTTTTTAGACTTTTTTTCGAATTTGATAATAAAAGTGTACATATTTGTTACGTGAAGACCTCAACACGAGCAGAATGATAAAAAATAGAAATGAATGATGATGATGATGAGGAGTATTGCTCGAAGCTTCTGAAATGGGAACCTCTTCTGAAGAAATTGAGAAATGTGTGAAGCATTTGGAATCTGGACAACACATTCATCGATCGTTGAACCGTCTTCTCCGCCTGGATGCTTCATTATCACAATTTACTTCGTATGGAGTCAAACATTTAGCGATTCGGTATTCAAAAAATTCTGAGTATAAGACTGTTTCCAATGATCTTCTATCCAAGATTCAGAAGTTGGAGGACGACTCCGTTTTTCGGAAACCGTATAGTAAGTTATTCGTTTTGTTGAAATTCCGATAAGATTAAATTATTCTCTGGTACTGAAAAATACAGCTTTGAATATAAACCATCTTACACAGATTAGCAGAAAACATTTCAAATTTAAAAAATTCGAATTTCCAGACACAAGTCATCCTTCACATCAGAATCGACGACGTAATGCTTCGACGAGTTTGAGTTCTTCGAAATCTCATTCAAAACTTCCCAAAATCTGTACTCCAGAAGATGACCTTCCTTCGTTAGAACCCTCATCAAAATCATCATCTGAATCTTGTGTAGTAACTCAAAAGAATGTTATTGAGGTCACTAGTGAGTTTTTATTTGATTTTGAATTTCAATTTTCACTATTTCCTAATTTACAGAACTCAAAAATCTGGAAGAAAGTGACTATGACCGTGTTCGTCCAACACTTGTGACACTTTCAGCAAAACAACTCAAGTCGTTTATGGATCAGAATCCCCGAATCGAATTGATTGGAGATGGATTATTCAGAAGACATTGTCAGATGGATTGTCCAGAAGAAGTTCCGAAGAAGTTGATAACAGAAACATGGAGAACTCTTCATGATGTATTTATCAATTGGAAGTTGTACCAGGAAGCAAAAGTTTGGGAGAAGAAAATCAATGAAGGGCTCGAAAATTATGTAAAAATGAAAACTGATACTCAATAAATTGTTTTTTTTAATGTAATTCCTAACCTAACTTTGAACTTTAAACCAATTTATCTCGATTCGTGTAAAAGATATTGAAATGGGGAACGGAAAAAGTATTGTTAACTTATTGATAAACATTATGGTAATTTAATGGTTTTTGATATCTTCTACAGAAAATGAGATACCGCATTTTCCTCTAATAGAAGCTCACCTCTATTAGAAGAACGCCCTGGCTGTGCATTTTTCTTGTCGCTAAGGGCAGATATACTCTTTTTATTTTCTTTTTCTGATAATTTCCGTTAGTTCTTGTCGTATAAACTATTCCAGTTCAGTTAAAAACCGAAAACCCTATCGTTTTAACTGAGAAAGAGGTTGAAAAATAGAAGCCCATGTGCCTCTAACAGAGGAAACATGGTATATGACCTTGACGGTGACAGTTTGGGAAATTTTTAAGGTTTGGATTTTCCCAAACTGGTTTTCAAATCAAAATATATCAGCTATTTTTAACAGAGAAAAATGCAAATTTTGGTATATTTTCTTTGAGAAAACGACTTTCTTTGAATGAGATTTCACTTTGATTCCGTGTTGCATAAACTAATCTATTATCCTCTTCATTTTAATTGTCCTATATGTTAGGATTATGGATCCAAATTAAAAGTTCGATAAATCTCCTTACAGGGGAAGTTTTTTCAGAAAGGCGTTGAGAATTTTCTCAAACTTTTTTGATTGGTACTTTTAGACACGCTGATTACAGAACTGAAATCAGTTTTCCCACCCCGGTCCTGGGAAAAAAAGTTATGAGCTCTGAAAGTGATTTCAGTGCTAATTTCTCACTTTTGGAGTAAATTTTTGAAGGGATTAATAACAGCTTTTCGGGATTTTTCGAATGTTTATATGTTGTTTTTATATATTGTTCTATAATCTGAGAAAGTTTCCTCATTTTTCAAAAAAATTTTTTTTTGAAAAAATGTCGCTGTGTGGTATCTCCTTTGGAATTTTTTCAAATTTTCGCAAACTTTTAAAACGTGCTAAAACGAAGCCTGAACGTAGAGAAACGATAAAATGAGTCTTTTCGCAAGATTTCGTAGCCCATATTCCTCTAGAAATCACAAAAAAGCGATTTCTGTTCAAACTTCAACTGGTCGTAATTCTTTGATAAATCTCTAGAAGCACTCAAAACTTGTAAAACATAGATTTACATAATTACTCATTTATTTATTTTTTTTTCCAACCGCAAAATAAACCTGTTTAGGGTACATTATTGACTAAATAGGAAATGTATATTGTATGGTTTAGTGGTTGAGGTTCGGACCAGGATTAGAAAAGTCTGGGTTCGATTTTTTACAACCAATTTTTGAGTTTTTGCCGTTTTTTTACTTCGAGGAGGAGTAGTAATCAATTACCAGTGGCAAAGCGTAGATTGAAAAAAAGGGAGAAGGTTTTAGACCTTTCCAAAAACAACAAGAAAATTATAGTGAATTCATTTTTGCATTTTTTTCATCTTCTTGTCGCAGGAAGCGATATAAGAGAAGAAGATATCGTGGGTGATCTATGATGTTAGGGCTTTTTCTGTATTTTTTCTATTTCACTGTTTCTTTTCAATGTATTCGCCCACATCGTTCCCATGAGCCATCATGAGAACGGTTTTCTTTCTCTATCTGTCCGCATAAATAGCGGTTTTGCCGCTGTATTCTTCACTCTTCAATAAATCATCAAGTATTATTTCTTCATCCGGCCTTCTTACAACAACCGACTTCTTCTTCATTTTTCACATGGTGACCCAGGAGTTGTTGTAAAGGATGGCTGGAAAGAGCAGCGGCACATTGCGGCGTGCCATTGGATTGGCCAAATCGTTCCTCGTGGAGAAGTTAGAGGATCAGAAGAAGGATTCAAAAGAAGACGTCACAAAATTCGATGAGGAGGAATTAGTAGAATTCCTCAAGCAAACACATCAAGACCATGAGCAGATCAGGATTCAAGTCGAGAAAATCCAAGGATACGAAGATGAATGGGATCAAATGATATTGAGGGATCCAAGAGAAGTGGAAGTGAAGGCTAACTACATCACGAAGTATGGATCGTACATGGCACAAGTGGAAGCTGGTCACAAGCAGATGCAGGACATGGAAGCAAAGTACCGCGAAGCATGGGACAGACTCAACGCCAAGGATGAGTATGTAAAGCGGAAGAAATATTCACACCCGAAGATATAGTCACAGTCAAGGGAAAGAAGGCAGAAGATCTTCCGAGAAT